AGGAGAGATCATCCAAATTGGCTCAGCTGTTTATAGCCCTTTTAAAAAAACATCTTATGATTAACATTTCCTAAGTATTGACTGTCAGCAGCGCTGATGCGATTTGAAGTGGTGCGATCGCTGGTTTTATTATCATCTAAATATATAAAGGGAGAGGGGGGGGAGGGGGGGGGGGGGGGGCAGTGCGGCGGTGATGCAATCGCATCTGATATTTATACTGTGTGCCTTCCCCCTTTTGTGTTCTTTCTCTCCCCCCCACACCGCCCCCCACCCCCACCGCCCCTCCCCCCACGGCCCCCCCCCCCGCCCCCATGTAGTTATCATAACCCTTGCAATTGATACAGTGCCTTATCAGCTTATCCTCGAGACGTCTCAAAGCGCTTCAGAGGGATAACGCTGCGAAGTGGAGTGACTGTGTATTTTGTGGGGGGAACAAATTTGCCCCCCAGTGTGTCTTTCTCCCCCTCCCTCCCTCCCTCCCTCCCTCCGCCCCAATCCCCTGCCTTCGCGTCTTCGCTCCCCCTTTTCTCTCCCCCCCCCCACCCCCCCCCTCCCCCCCCATTCACCCGCTCCCCTTTTATTCTCTCCAGTGTTCCCCCCTCTCCCTCTCTCTCTCTCTCTCACACACACAGCTCTTTTCACCACACGGGCACTGACAGATTGTTTGAGCGCGTTGGGGGGGAAAAGACATTCAGAAACTAATTAAGCGGCGTTCCAGTCGTGATGTGCGGAGCGGCCCCGGGAGGAGCCCCGGGAGCGGGAGCGGCCCCGGGAGCGGGAGGAGCCCCGGGAGGAGCCCCGGGAGCGGGAGCGGCTCCGGGAGGAGCCCCGGGAGCGGGAGGAGCCCCGGGAGGGGCTCCGGGAGGGGCTCCGGGAGCGGCGCGGAATCAAAGGCATTTTGTCAGTGAAGCAGGAACCCCCCCCCCACACGCCCCGCCCCCCTCGTGGGTTTGATTGACAGGCGCTCGGCCCCGCCCACCCCGGCGGGAGGGGCGGGGCCGGCGCGGCGCCCGAGCCCGGTTTGATTGACAGCTGCTGCGCCGACCGACCAATCAGGAGCCGGGCCGGGCCGCCGCCGGCTCGCTATTGGCTGAGGGGGAGGGAGGAGGCCACGCCCACCCCCCGCCCCCACGTGGGGGCCGCCGGGCGCTGATTGGTCGGGAGCCACATTGGTTACTTTCCACCCAAATATGGTCACGGTTCTGTACCACCGCCACACACACAGCTCCGGCCGCATGTCAGGGGGTGTGTGAGTGTATGTGTGTGTGTGTGTGTGTGGGGGGCGATTCCCACCCACACCCCCCCCACCAACCCCCACACTCGCCCCCACCCCCCTCCGAGCCAGGAGACGGGACTCCACACCCGCACTCACACCCGCGCGGCTGTTGCGGAAGAAAAGGGCGACAGAAAAACTAAAGGACTAAAGGAGGAGAAGAAGAGAGAAGAGAGAGATTGAGAGTGAGAGAGAAGCGAGAGAGAGAGAGAGAGTCGGGAAAGCCGCGTGGTGTCAGTCTGCCTCCAGTCTGTGTGTGACTGTCTGTGTCCCCCACACACCCCTCTCTCTCTGTGTGTGACTGTCTGTGTCCCCCCCCCCCCACACACACCCTCTCTCTCTGTGTGTGACTGTCTGCCCCCCCCCCCCACACCCCCTCTCTCTGTGTGTGTGTGTGTGTGTGACTGTGTCCGGCGTTGCTGATCGCTTCCACCTCTTTCCACCGCGATCTGTGGCCACACTCCCGGGGGTCAGGGGAGGGAGGGGGAGGGAGTTGGGCGGTTAGTCGGTTGGGTGGAGAAGACGAGGAGGAGCAGAGGAAGGGGAGAGGAGAGGGGAGAGGAGAGGAGAGGAGAGAGACAACATATCGAGAGAGAGAGAGAGAGAGAGAAACGACATCAAAGGGATTCTCCTCTCGGGATTTGTTACAGCGCTGAGAACCGGACACCGCATTCGCTACTGTTACTGATGTGAAACCCGCGCCGTGTTTTCTGTCCTCGGCTCCAGTTTGCATTCCCACTCTTTTCTTTCCTTTTCTTTTTCTTTCTTTCTCTTTCTCTCTCTCTCTCTCTCTCTCGCTCTCTCTTTCTTTCTTTCTCTCTTTTTCTCCTTCCTTCATCCTGAGCTGTAAAACAACACCAGCGATCACACCGCACCATTCGGGGAGAGAGGAGGGGAGACAGAGAGAGGAGAGGGGGAGAGAGGGGGAGAGGGAGAGAGGAGAGGGGGAGAGGGAGAGGAGAGGAGAGGAGGAGAGAGGAGGGGAGGGGGAAGAGGGAGAGGGGGAGAGAAGGGAGGGGGAGAGGAGGGAGAGAGAAGGCCACGCCCACCCCCCGCCCACGTGGGGCCGCCGGGCGCTGATTGGTCGGGAGCCACATTGGTTACTTTCCACCCAAATATGGTCACGGTTCTGTACCACCGCCACACAC